GGAGGAGGGGCGTGGTCGCCGGACAGCGAAGTACAACTAAAACTGCCATCCCTTTTACTCGTAATTAGTTTTAATTCGTAATTAGCAGCAGTATGTCGGTGAGCAGGGGCGCAAATATCCGCACCATTATCGTTTGCCCTTGCACTACAATAAGCCATTTGTTAAAAAGGAATTAAAAAATGCGTACATTGAGTATATTGAAAAAAAAATAATGTATCACCTTATTTCGAGGGGTCCTCCACTCTCCAAGTGGGTGTACAACGAGTTGCGTGGGTATCCGCGAGTATTCGAGAGTATTAGCGAGTATCCGCGAGTTTATGTGAGTAATGGCGAGTATCCGCGAGTATTAAGCGAGTTTTTGTCGATTTTTTCGCGAGTTTTCGCAAATTTTTTGCGAGTTGTCGCGAGTTGCCGCGAGTATCTTGCGAGTATTTTTCCTCGTGTACAACGAGTTGACGAGTGGGGGACCCCTCGCCTTATTTAATGGACAAATAGAGTCAAAATCTGAATAAATGGTTTACAATTGTTGTTGTACCCACTTTCAGGATAACTTTAAAGGGATTGAATGCCAAAAACTTTACTCAGAAATTGTAAAAGTTACACAAATTTTTGAGTTACAAAATTTCTATGCGCAAAATTATTTGATGGATCTTGGCATTCTATAGCTTAAATTAATCCTGGGATTGAGTACTACAACTAATTATAAACCACTACCTTTGTTGATTTGTCTCTTATTTAGATTTCAAGGTTTTCAGTATACCCTCCCCTTACAAAGGAAACGTTTCGGACAGGAGCCTGGTGGACCATGGGCAACTTCAAAAGGCGCTGTTGCGATAGCGAGCGGCAAACCCTTCCCTCGATCCGATACCGTATCGCCGCGCTACGTAACCGCGAGGTCCGCCACTTCCACCCGTCGCGGCCGTGGAGCTCCGGCCCTGGCCGTGCGCTCCCCGGGTCAGCGACCAGCGCACCACCAGCAGGGCCTGCTCTTCCCCAATCATTAACAAAACAACGCCGCCTTTATAGAGCTGTTAATCATTGTGTTTCCCGAGCCTCTCATGCCGATGCCAGGGGGGCAGGGCGAGGGGGGACGGCCCGCATGGCGACGTGGCGAAAGCATTATCGGGGGGTCAGCGTTTAGAAGAGGCGTGAATCAGGAGCGACCGGCAAGCCCTATTAGATGTTTTTATTGTATATTTTTATTAGTCGAAGTTAGCTCATGGAGGCCAACTTCCCGACAAAATCATAACAAGCCCCAAATACCAAAATGGTCGGTTTAATATTTTTTCGAATTTTGGGTGTTCAAAAGCTCACACAGGAAGCACACACATCCCATGCTTCATAAGAGTGTCGGATTTTTGTGTTTGGACTCATCTGACACATTTTTTTCCTTCGCAGGGTTTAAGCGGGAGCTGATCGGCACGGAGTTCAAGGACATGGACACCGAGAAATGGCTGGTGGTGATACGACGGGCGCTGGGCGAGCTCTTCGCTACCGCTACTCTCATCTTCATCGGGTGCATGGGGCTGGTAGGCGGGCTTTCAAAAACTCCCGACCACTTTTCCGTCGCCTTCAACTTCGGTATTGCCGTCATGGCCGGACTCATTGTAAGTAACTAGCAATCAGACAAGGTTCGCAAAATGCAGGAGGAGGGATTAGGCACATTATTTACATTGATAACCAAGCGCACAAAACACGCCCCCCTTGATAAGAAAAAAATACCCGAACGTACTATTTGGCCCGCTCACAGAAGCGGAGCTAAGCAAGCCCCTGCGCACTAAGAACGCCCAACGGGTAGGCAACCCATTCGGCTCGAGGGCAGGAATGGTGGCCCGTCCTTCACCAGAAGCAACTGGTGTGGTGACTGTGCTTCAAGTCAAGTACTTCAGGATACTTTCGGAGCTCTACTTCCATTTATTTGAGAGCGACAAATTTGTTCTCCTGCGGTAATGACATTTTTGTTTTAAATGTTACGCACAGACGTATGTGCGGTATCACCTACACCCACAGCGCTGGGAGAAGCAGCCACCTTGAATCTTATTTTTTTAAAGTAGGTCATGTTATGTATTTAGAGCTGAGTTGTTAAATGAATTCTCTGTGTCAACGG